TGGACATAGAAAAATCTTGCTATTTCAATTAAAAAAATGACATTTTAATATAATTAACACATTTCATATTAAGAGGATTTCTAACCATAACAACAAAAAAGTTTTGAGATTTATTTCATATTTCTTAAATTTTACATTACACGAATGAGAAAAATGGTCAGAGCGGACATGAGAAAATGATTGCAGTTTAACATAAAAAGTTATAAATGTGCAAAATATATATTTATCATTCAATTTTATTTGACCTCATGCTACCAACTAAACTTGAATCAATGGCTTTAGACACTTAAAGTATTACTGACAGTTTTATTATGCTTCCTGTTCCTCTTTGAATGTTATGGACCCAAATTTAACAGTTTCCATGGAATGACCCATGTACAAATAAAAAAACAATCGCATGTCAGATCACCATACGCTTAAAAAAACACCAAAAAGTATTTAATTGAATAGTTTTTTCTTACATGACCAAAGGGTTGAGGTATGTTAAAGTGTATTTTTCATACAAACCTAAAGGGATTAACTAAAGGGATAAACGGGCATTGACTCTGGGTATGCTCATCTGACAGAACACCTGCCCTGCTCTTAAAGATGTATTTTAAAAGGCTGGGACTGTAGTTGCACCGATTTCCTTTCCTTTACACCTTCCAGCTTTTTACCTGATCCATCACCGCACAACAAAATCATCTGAAACTGCAAACAGCTTCTTTTTTAATTAGGTTTCAGTCTGACACAGAGATTTAAATCAAAACAGCTCAGTTCAAGCATGGGAGATAAAGATTGTTTGGAAGCATTTCTGATTGGGGTACAAGCAGAAACTTCCATGAGGCAGAAAAAGATGAAGATAAAAAATAAAACGCACACAAAGAAGGGGATGATGAGATTGCATTCACAACACTTTACCCCTGAAGCTTTGTTCAAACAATCTGCATACCTCTGTGAGTTATTATGATCTGAAACTTATGCTCAGTCTGTGGCTCTGGTAACATCGCTTGACACGCTGACAGCAGTGATTAGCATCATTGTCACTTCATATTCTTTTCTCGTGTTGAGTCTTCTGCTTTGAGGGCTTTCAAAACCAACAGCAGCTCAGAAAAATGACTAATTGGTGAACAGAACTATAGAGGCTCTCTAATTGATCTGTTTTCCTCATGTTAGCAGGTCAACATTCAACTTGAACTTGCTTGTGTCCTCACCAGAGCTAAAATATTTGTTTAGTCTGATAGCACTGATCCAGATGTTAACGATCATTTATA